TAAGTTCGATAGACAATAATTCATCGTGGAACTTATTCCCATTCAGGTCGATTAGAATGTTTTTCATACGATGGCTAACAGGTACAAACTTGCCACTAGCAACTTCGACTAATAAAGTATTATCTAGTCTATCAACAGGAAAAGCTAGTTTTCTACCAAATTCATGCGAAATAAACGAGTAGTTGGCTCCAGAATCAAATAAAATTTGGGCAGGCAAATTGTTTACAAGAAAGGTACCTGAAGCGACATCAGCTTCATCTTTCGCAGCTTCCAGTGTCGTCTGGAAAGCTCTTGCTTTAGGCTTTGGGGGAATATTGGGTTTTGCTGCCTCCTTCTTTCTCGGACAGTCTTTCAAAATGAGCCCCTCTTCATTACACCCAAAGCACACTCTTTTATTGGACGAACACTCATTGGCATAATGCCCCGTCTTTCCACACTTGTAGCAGGTCACATCCTCGCTACATTTCCTAGAGTGCTTTTTCTTGCACTTCTCACACCATTTCGATTCGCCTCCTTTTCCTCCTCCAAACTTTTTTGAATCAGACTTCGAAAATTTGCTTTTCTTGCTGGAACCTGAAGTTCCTTCAAACTTTCTCTTATCACCAACTTCAACTTTGCTGGCGGTTCTTCCCTTGATGATGTCCTCAACAGACTTGGCAGCCCAAATAGCTTCCTCTAGAGTAGGTGCCTGGCGTACTGGCACTGCGTACTCCCATGGAAGTCCCTTTGCGTATCGGTCTACCTTTGTCAGCTCATCTGGGACGATGTGCAAAGCAAACTCCATTTTGTCTGTGAAGGCGTTTGTGTAATCGCCAACTGACATGCTGCCTTTCGTCAATGTCAGGAACTTGTTCTCCAACTCCAACAGATTTTGGGCCGAGCAGAACTTGCGCTTGAACTGCACCAAGAATTCTGCCCATGTCAATTGCAGTGGTTCATTAGGGCTTAGGGTCTTCCCCAGAGTGTTCCACCAACGAACAGCCCCACCCCTAAACTGTCGTACTGCAAACGTGGTCTGCAGCTTGCCCTTGCAACCACACGTCATGAAGGCCAGCTCCATTTCAGAGATCCAATCCATGACTCCGATCGGATCCTCCTTTCCAGTGAAGGTCGATGGTTTGCAAGTCAAAAAGTCCTTGTACTTGCATCCCAGTCCATTATTCCCTCCATCTTGGTTGTTTTGTCGAACTATCGGTGGTTTGTCTTGACCAATAATCCCACTAAAGTTCTCTCCTTCAGACTGCCCTCCATTAACTTCGGGCTCTTCCATCTGAATTGACAGTTCTTCACGATTCTGTCGAAGCAGACGCCTCGTTTCTTCCATTTGACGATCCAACATAGTTTGAATCATCACTTGCACTCCAGCCATAGTCATTGGCTCAGGTGCTGCTGCTGCACAACACTACTTGTTCGATCACAGGTGGTTGATTCCTGTTTTCGTCAGCATTCCCAACTCCACTTCTTGTTCTCACCATTGTTGATCTATACACCGAATAAGGTGAAATTAGATCCTCATTCACGATAGATATTCAAATCATCCTTATTACTCCAAACGATTACATGCTAGTTCTAATACCGTCGTTATACGCTTAGAATCCTAAACACATAAGGTTTCCAGATCCGGTTGGCAACAAACCATATATCCGAACAAATAATATCATATATGGCAACATTTAACATTTAGCACATAAAATCATTTTACGCAACTTTCCTAAAATAAAAAAAAGTGCTCGTGTCTAAAATATGACAGTCACTCATCTCATAATCTTCACTTAGCATTCTAAGTTTAAGTCTAGAAATCCTACAAATTCCTAGTTCGCTTAAACTAATGCTCTGATACCAACTGTGACATCCCCAAAATCACGGCCAGAAAAGACCGGTTTCATTTATGCTTTTAAAATAATTTCAGAGTAAATCCATTGACTTAAAAGAGTTGCGGAATTTGTCCCCAAAAACAAACATGATAAAATAAGTTTATCAAAGCATTTCTTAAAGAAATGTATTTTCATTATATATCAAAACTCGGGATGTCATGTTCCGATACAGACACAAAAGCATAAACAATAAAACATAGACCTTACACAGTTTATAAAACTACTGGTCTATAAACAAAAACATCTTCACAAGTTCTCCAACTTATGCTCTCGCGCCACTACCTGTAATACAAAGAAACTGAGTGGGTCAGGCTTGGGAGCCTGGTGAGCATATAGGGTTTTCAACCCACAATAAATAATTATATTTAATTCCACCAACCAACAATAACCTGATTACCCATTCCCGTTATCCTCACTTTACGTCCCTAAAACAACAACTATCACAAGGGACCAAATCTAGGATTTTCATCGGGACGGACAATACTGCAAAGGGGTTTCCTCAGCAATGAATGTCCTAAGGCAACCATGAGGGGGATAGAATACAGCAAATGAACACCCAAGTTCACCAACACCTACAGGTTATGAGCCTGCCAGCATTCCACAGGACAGTCTAGAAAGAGTCTATGGTCGTCATCCATATTCTGCTGAATGACTAGATCACAATCACATCGAGGCCTCTCATCAGTTTATCACACATCAACTATCTACGCAAGTTCTACCCAACATTTTTGTAGATAAAAACATACACATGCATTCAAATGCAACTTAAAAACTGATACGATACTCATTCAATACTCGTTCCAAGTAAACAGATAACATACATATACACGTATATTTATACACACATATCACGTATTCTATAGGAGATACTTCATATCTATGTGTTAGAAGAAAATGAATATACACTCACTTGATCAGAAGATGATCGGACAGCACCTCGTCTATTAAAATAATCTTTTCCGATAAAACCGGGATGCTTTCTTGAAAACCGGGCTTCTCACGGGCAGAGTTTCGGCTCGGAAACTTTACTTCTCGAGATCTTCGGGGCTTCGGGACTTGCTTCGGGTCTCGGGAATGATACCGGGGCTTCGGGATATTTCTTGCACGCAAAACAAGGTAAAAACGCGAGAGAAGGAAAGAAAATGAGCAAAGAAACTCGGCAGCCTCGACTTCCTTTTATAGGGGCTGGAACCTCCGATTACGTTGGGCGTAATCCTAGGTACGTTGGGCGTACGTGACGTCACTGCATGCGTATGGTACTCGAGTGAGGTCAGGTGACGTAGCTGAGGCGGTTCCAGGTACGCTGGGCGTACTCCATTACGCTCGGCGTAACTCGATTAAGCAAACTTCAAACTTGCGTAACTTTCGCATACGAGCTCCGTTTTCGACGTTCTTTATATCCACGCGTAGGTGAGACTATACTCTACAACTTACATTTAGGCTCAGTCGGCTAATTTTGAATTTATTTTTATTATTTATTTTTAGTAGGCCGGGACAGGAAAACTCTGTTAGAAAATCATAACTCCTTCGTCTGACGTCCGTTTTCGTCTGTCTTTCCGTCGTTGCACTACTATCGATGAGATCTTCGATTCTCATTTAGAAAGTTTGGCTAAATATCGCTCGATCCCATATTCGAACTTCGGGCTGTACACCGCTAAGTCGAAACTACGGAAAATCATAACTTCCTCATACGAAGTCAGATTTGGGCATTCTTTTCATGCACGCTCTCGGCTTAACGTAATCTACGACTTTCGTTTAGATCACTAAGGCTAAATATCGCTCTATCGATATTTCACTATTTACGTCACGTAGTGTCGTACCGGTTCTGTCGCGAAACTTCGACAAATCATAACTTCTTCGTTATAACTCGGATTTCAGCATTCTTTATATATTCAGAAACCTCGTCACGACCACTACGTCTTCATGCATCGATATTGGGTTTATCTAAAATTTCATTTTCACGCTTATTTTTATTCTTAATTCATTTAAGCCACACAATTAAACAATTAAGCATAAAACACATAATACTCAAATAATACATTTCTATTATTTCAAAATGGGTTACAAAGGTTAACCTAGACTATTACATTGCTATTAATGACAAGCCCAGAAACACGGGCGTTACAGTGGTTAATAGCGATAAAAGTGGTGTGGCTCGATGATTCTTCTGTTCTCAGCAGCAAACAGGTGGTAGAGATGACGGTGGTTTAATGGTGGTTTCCGGTAGGATGGTTTTTCTTTTTGTGTTGTTTGTATTTTTTGGGGCGGTTTTCATCATTTTATAGTGCGATTTGTATTTTTTATGTACTATTTTTTGGTGCGTTTTTGACTATTTTTTGATGCGGTTTTATAACCGCACCATTAAATGAGGGTATTTTTTGATGCGATATTTGTTAGTGCGGTTCAATAACCGCATCAAATAATTATTTTAATTGCATCAACAAATCGTTTCTGTACTAGTGAATGAAAGAAAGTGGGGTAGTGATGGAGTAAATAAACTTAATTGTAAGGCTTTCACCCTGTGAACGTTGAAAGGTAATGTGGCTTGCAACCCAAGTTCAATGTATATATTAAAGAGTAAATTATACGAATCCCCCTTATGGTTTAGGGAAATTTGCGTATTTGGTTCCTAACTTATTTTTTTAATTCGGAAGGTCCTTTGTGTTTGTTTTTGTTACGCGCTTGGTCCATGTCTTACCTAAAAAGACTATTTTTCCCTTGAGTTTTTAATTTATTTAAATAAACACACCCCCAACCCCACCCCTCACCTTACCTTACCTACCCTACTATTTTTCCCTATTTAAATAATAGTCTTTTTAGATAAGACAGAGACCAAAGGTCTAACAAAAACAAATAGGAGTGACCAAGCGCGTAACAAAAACAAACATTAGGGACCTTCCAAGTTAAAAAAATAAATTAGGAACCAAACGCGTAAATTACCCCAAACCATAGGGACCATTCGTGTAATTTACTCTATATTAAATTAATGTTAGGCAAAATTTACTTTTTGTAGAATATTGACCGGGGATCATATAACATCTAGATGCAATAATATAAACTTTCTTACTTGATTAGATTGTATAATTTAATTAATTCATATTCGCACAACAATAAAAACATCGAAGCCACCCAATTTTATTAATTCAAATTCGTCTTTACAATGAAACCACCAAAAGCGATCAAAACTACATTTTCTTTACAGTTTTGGTGGCATCGAACAATCAAGATTATTATTTTAAGATATATGTGGAGTCTTTGATTTTTTTTTCTCTAAAAGAGTATTTATATAAGCCGAGTGAATCCAACATATATAGACATTTATTTATAGGATTGTGTCCTACCGATGTGAGATACACTAACACTCGTATTCATACCAACAATTCAAATGACCATTATGCCCTTCAACTCACTCCGTAGAGGCAAAATTAGGAAGATTAATCTCCCTTTTCGCTCTCGTGTCAATATCTAAAATCACATTGTCACCATGTTTAAACTCTTTAAAACAAGCCACCCTCCCCAATTCTTCAACTTCCTCAATCACAAGATCAAGTCTAGCGACTAACTCAACCAATAAGGCCACAAAAGCAGCAATTGGTAGCGCTTCAGAAAAGTCCAAGCTTGTGATCGCAAACTTACTTAATGTTGGCCTCAAAACCCTCCTCTCACCCTCAGAAACCCCCTTGGTTTTCCTATCTATAGAGGTAGGTGCGTCTGTGTTTATGCTTGATAAATGGTTTTCAAACTTATGTCTCTCTGTTGACGCAAGTGTGGATAGCATTTCGGACGTGTTGTAAGGGGTATTTGTACCGACAAAGAGTCTTGGTTGGGACTTTAAAGCTGTGTCGAGGTCTTGCAGTGCTTGGCGAAGCGACTCGGTAAGGAGTTCTGGCGAGCAGTGTTGCCGATTTCTTAAGCTACATGCAAGCTCCATTAGGGATTTTGTTACTTTTGATGCAAGGCAAATGCATGGATCCTTGAATAGGAGTCTAACTGATCTTGGAGTCTGAAAAATTAAACCAAAATACATTATCAAATTATCATCATCGTCAAAGCAACTGATGAATAAAATAATAACATTTAAATTTATGAAATTCTTGATTTTTTTCAAAAGAATCATAAAGACAAATGAGAGACCCCATTACCCCAACATATATACAAAAGTGAATGTGATTGTGTCTAAACTCCAACGATAACAATCATAGATGCCTTGATAAATATTGTTAGTTCTTTATAATAAAAGGTTAATCCATTTGTCGGCCGCCACAAATTGCACTATGAAGAAAAGTAATAGCAATTAGCAACTACAATAACATGATCCCTTTTGATACTGGTGTCGCAATATTTAAATAACAAAAATCACCCTTACCATTCATGGAGTGTTTTGGTAGACCTAGTAAACATGTTGTGTCGTATCGTGTCAAGGCTCAGACCAGGAAGGGGGCATGATGGATGCAGGGGCAGTTTTGTATAAGTGTCTGTAGTGGCACCGACAATGTCTGACTTGTTTGTACGCAATGCAAAACAAAATCGAATTTTTTATCTACTATCACACCATTACTTATATTTCTCGTGTCACCCCTACTATGAAATCATATGTCCACCCGTGGTTGGACGACCGTGCAGGGCTATAAGAACTTAGGCCCCAATTTAATATCAATCGGTATTTAATAATAACTAGGAAAATGTCAGTGCGTTACACGGGTCATTCTTTTTAGAAATAGTTAAAGGGCAGAAGAATAGTATAGACGAAAATGACAAAGAATAAAGAAAATGGGTTGGATTTAGCAACTTTTTAGAAAAATTGTGGCGAACGTCTGAATTTTAAAAGGTTCAGGTTGATAATAGAAGATCAAAAAAGTATTAAAATAGAAGAATGTTGGAAAATGGGAGACTAAACTGTAAATAGATTAAAGACGAATATAACAAAGAATAAAGAAAAGAGGTTGTAAAGAAGTAAAAGTAAAAGTTTAGTGGCAACAATGTAAAAAAATAAAAGTGAAGTGGCAAAATTATGAACATGTGAGAAAAGTCATAAATGAATCTTTTTAGAAAAAAAAATAAAGGAGACGAAAATGATAAAAAAAAAATAAAGAAAAAAAAGTTGTAAAAAACTAAAAGTGAAAGTTTAGTGGCAACAGTATAAAAAAGTAAAAAGTGAAGTGACAAAACTATGAAGGGGTGTTTCGTTTTCCTTTTAAAATGACTTTTGGGCGTTTAACTTTTCCAAAATGTCATAAAAGTCCAAAATATATTTGGCAATGGAAAAGTTCTTTTAAAACAATTTTTTGCCACGAACAAAAAGAAGCATTTTCAAAAGTTATAAAATCTCATTTTTTGTGACTTTTGTCTTTTAACTTTTAAAAGTTTTTAAAGACAAGTCAAACACATTTTATACACATCATTTTAGAAAAAATTGGTTTTACAAAAAGTCCTTTTATAAAAAAGAACTTTTAAGTTTAAAAAGGAATCCCAAACATATCGGAAGTGGGAATGGCTCCTGTTGAAACGTCCCATGACCTTTAATATATATATATATATATATATATATATATATATATATATATATATATATATATATATATATATATATATATATATAGGTTTAGGTTCTATGGAAAACAAAAAACCCTAAAAATGCATAAAAAAAATACTTAGAGATCACATAACTTTTTTTTGAATTTTTTTTATAAAAAATTGCAGCTTTTTATTAAAATTCGCTGAAAAAAAAATCAATTTTTTTTATATAAAAAAAATTCAAATTTTTTTTTCAGCGAATTTCTTTAAAAACCTGCGATTTTTTCATAAAAAATGTCAAAAAAAAATTTGTGATCTCTAGGTATTTTTTATGCATTTTTATGATTTTTGGGGGTTTTTTTAGGGTTTTTTTGTTTTCCAAGAACTCTTCCCTATATATATATATATATATATATATATATATATATATATATATATATATATTATATATATATATATATATTGTTTAAGCTTTGACATAGAAAAATAATTATAAATTTACGTATTTTACTTTACCTTAATTCACTTGGTAAGAAGTCTTTTTATTTTTATTTTTATTTTTATTATTATTTTTTTTTTGTACAACCCGAGTTCAAGCCTTGCAATTGCTTTTTTTCCCTGTCTTTACTTTGCCTTTTATAATGTATATATTAAAGTTATGTTTTATAAAAAATCAAAGAAATAATAACACATGGTAGGTAGGGGAGATGGTTTAAATGTTTGATTTTATTAGAATGTCATTGATTTGGACATTCTTCTATTTTTATTTAAAATTCATTTGAAATCATTTATATATAAATCTAATTCTCATACAATAATAATAATTTGTAATAGAATACTTTAACTTTTGTTTAGGATTTCGAGTTCGTCTATTGCCAAGGGTCTTCGAAAAAATATTAACTTAGATTTAATTATTATATAAATTTTGGTAATTTAAAGGGGTTTTGTCCCGGGACCCAATTACGTAGGACCGGCCGTGATCGTGACTGGTTTAAAAGGCTTAATTCTAACCTTATGCGTTATCCAACCACATGGATATTAATTATACTGGTATATTTTAGCAGATTTAATTTGTTTAGCAAGGTGTAAATAAAAAGATTGATACATTATTGATAAATGAATAAATTATTCATTATTTAACGCTATACAAAATAAGAAATTATTCATTCGGCTTTTACACATAGCATTTTAATGGAAAGTAAAAACGTACTCACTCGTATTTCGGTTTGTAAACTTCCACGAAGAGCAACAACTCCGTACCCAAAATGACGAAGAACGCTTCCTATTTTCACGTATTGTTGCCCCGGAAATTTGTGGCACTGCCACGTGTATCTCGGTTCCCAACTTGCATGGAGCGCCTGCCCGTATATCAACATTAATAAGTTAATATCTTCACTTACCTCATTAAATAAAACTTTTGCATTAATTTAAAAATTATTTAAGAATTTTTTTTTTAAAAAAAACTTACCAGCGTGTCATCTGTCGATTTGGATTCCAAAACCGCCTTATAATTCTCATAAATCTGATCCTCCGATATCATCTCATCTCTTTCTACATTCCGTTCTTCTTCACTGAAGTACTTAGTGACGCAAGCTACATTTTGTTTACAGATAAAACATGTACAAATAAGTAATTTTTTAAACAAAGGATAGCAAATATTTTGAAATTTATTGCGTGTATATATATATACCTTCGATCGATTTTGCTAGTCCTTCAATTTTGGAAACTGTGTGATTATGGAGATCTTCTCCGGACCAATTTGGGAAGATGAAGAGACTCATCAGAATGCAAATCCCAGAACCGACCCCAATCATATACGTCCGCCCTTCGGCTAGTTTCAGAAGAGACTCATCCACACGATAACTCGATACAGTGATCAAGTTGAACGTCAACAGGAATACTATAACACCGTAATCATAATTCTGTTTTATTTTGGGGAAAAATCTCAAAAATGTAGTCAATGTGCCTGTGAAAAATGAAACGAAATAGTTTCACAACTCCATATTGTGGCATTAAATGAAACTACAAATACGAAGCGATTCTTTGTTTATTTGTATTTTTATTACCAATAAAGAAAATCGAAGCTCCAATGAAAACAGCACGAAAAACATTTCCATTTCCTCGTGCTATAAACTCGAATAAGAAAGCTAACGATGCTGCTAACATCGTCCCAAACCCTCGATTTAATCCTTTGCATAAAGTCGCTCCTATCAAATTAAATATAGTACAATTTAAGTAGATATTATATATATATATATATATATATATATATATATATATATATATATATATATATATATATAAGTACGTGTTTGTGTACGTATATATAACTTACCAGCAGTGAATTCGAGAACAACGATGACAGTTATGACTGCCCAAATCGCGTTTTGGTCGACCCCTTTGAACAATGGCTCCATTAGGTATAATAAGGACACTAAGGTTAAAGAAAACCCGACTTTGAGAGCGTGGATTGCCCTTCTCGGATCATCTCGACCCACTTTCCATATTTCGCCACATAAGGAAACCAGAAATCGTTTCATCTTCTGGATCAAAGTAGGTTTCTCGTTTAAAGTATCCATAGTCATGTCCTACTTCGCATTCAAGATTTCTCGCGATAAAAAACTTACGTCGACTTAGGAGATATATTTTAAGCAGTATATGATACCCTGAAACTGTTGTTGTATTTATAGGCGTTCTGTGTGGAAGACAGATGATTTGTGAACGTTTACATGTTCTTCCCTTGAAAGTGATATAGAATTTAGACAAATTGAAAGTGATATAGAATTTAGACAAAAACTGTAAAAATAGTCCATGTATTTAGTTAAAAAAAATTGTATTTTTTCCAAAAAGATTCCAAACTTTTTATTTTATCGTGGTTTTAGTCCGGTCTTTTTTAAAAGAATATTTAAAATAATGAAGTTATCCTTTACAATTTCATTTTTCATTTTCCTTTTATTATAATAATTAAAAAAAAAATTTTCCTTTATTATAATAATTAAAAAAAAAAGCGAAATATAAATATTAACACCTCCCATCCTCATTTTCTACCGGATTCTACTATTCATCATATCTTCCTACTTTCATCGTATGATTTGATTTTGAAGTACTTCATCTCTGATCATTTTCACTCATGGACTTATACAAATGGTTTATATCACAAGATCGATTCATTATCTCCTTGAAAATTTCTAAATTACAATCCTTTGTTGATTTCGATATTTAGGGTTTTTGTTCATCATTGTGTTCTTCAATTTATCTACTTTGATCCAAAAATATATGCTGATGATGATGATTTGTGTTTGGCGATTGTGTGGGATATATATGGTCGAATCGATGGTTAATTTCAATCGAATATGATTTCTCGTTAGGTGATGCAAATTTTTTTGATCAAAATGTGTATCAAAGGTTTTCGATGAATTGGGTTTTGATGATGCTTCGATTCAGGCTGATAAGATATCGATTGGAGTATCTTTCGATTCTTTATTGATTCGAAAAAATATGAAGTTGTTTTGAAACAGGTTGTATGGCCAAATTGAATGTATTCAAGTCTGAATGTTCAATCATTTACTGTGTTTTGATGATGAGCATGTTTTGAAGAAATTTCGATCGGGAATTGGTTCAGTTCCCTTGAAAGAGATGTAAATGGATCAAATTTGGTTATACGATCAAAGATGTTAAGATTTATGGAGTCTTGAACAAATTGACAAGTTCCTAAGAGTTCAAGGGCCATAAATGTAACTTGACAAATTAAACAATTGAATTGTTTAATATTTGTTTATTGGACGGTGAGTGGACGGCAAAAGTATTAATTGTTTAATGGAATCCATGTGCAATTTTGTTTCGGCCGTAACATGTGAATGGAAGAAAATTCAAATGGTGACTGGTCAAACAAAACGACTCCTCTCTCAGTATATATATGTGCGATGTAACTCTTTGTATTTGTGCCGAGTGATATTACCATTTGTAATCTTATAATGAGTTAATATAAAATCTAGTTGCGCCCCGTGGACGTAGATGATTTACACCGAATCCGAACCACGTAAAATCCTTGTGTCCTTCTTGCTTTATTTCCTTCGTGTGTTTGTGTGTGTGATAGTGTTTCCGCTGCGTGTACCCGGTCCGGTTCCTAACAACTGGTATCAGAGCTAGATTAGCGAGGTTTTGGAGGGTACGATCGTTTTTTTTATCACGCACGAGTGTACCTGATTTGTATCTTGTTTGTCATAATGGCTGAAGACAAGGTGGTAATCGAAAAGTTCAACGGTTCTGCTTTTAGCTGGTGGAAAATGCAATTAGAAGCATTACTATGTCAGAAAGACTTGGACGTGGTACTCGGAGACAAACCGGAGAAAATTGAAAAAGCTGCTGAAGATGCGTGGAACTCAAAGGACAAGAAAGCCAAGGCGGTTATTACATTGTCGTTAACGAAGAGCGTTGCTTTCAACATCATGAATGAAACCACGGCGCGTGGTATGATGGAGGCTCTGTCAAATATGTATGAGAAACCATCGGCGGCTAACAAGGTGTTCTTGATGAAGGAACTGTTCACTACAAGGATGAATGAGGAAGGCTCAGTTACGGTTCACATTAACAATCTAAATTCAATTCTGTCCAGATTATCATCTGTGGGAATTAAATTTGATAATGAGACTCAAGCTTCGCTGCTACTAGCTTCTCTACCTGATAGCTGGTCCGGAACAGTTACTGCTGTTACGAGTTCCGTGGGGACCAATGGTATGACTTTTGAAGGGGTTAGAGATTTGGTTCTTGGCGAAGATATCAGACGCAAGAATCAAGGTGGATCTTCTTCTTCTGAGTTATTAAATATCGGAAGAGGGAGAGGGAATAGCAGGACTAGTGGGAGCAGTGGGAGTCGGGGAAAAAGTTCTTCTAGAACTTTGAAGAATGTGAAATGTTGGAACTGTCAAGAAGTGGGACATGTTAAGAGTCAATGTCAAAAGAAAGAATTGAACATTGCTGGTGCTGAGAGTGTGTCTGAGGATGATGCATTGTTACTCAGTATGGAAAGTTCTGTGGACTCTTGGGTCATGGATTCAGGGGCTTCGTTTCACGCCATGGACAACGGGGAAACGATGGTGAATCTAAAAGAAGGAGATTTTGGAAAGGTACGTTTGGCAAATGACAAGATGCTTCAGGTAACGGGCATGGGAGATATTGATCTAGTTACTTCATTAGGAACTACATGGAGCCTGAAGAATGTCAGGGTTATTCCGGAGCTGAAGAAAAAATTGATTTCTGTTGGTCAGCTGGATAAACAAGGACTGGAAGTAAGGTTTGGTGGTGGTAAATGGATGGTGGTCAATGGTAATTCGGTGATTGCTCAAGGTTTGAAGCGTGGGTCATTATATATGGTTGAGGTACCTGCTGAGGGAAGTATGACCGTCCCTGTTAAGCAAGACAAAATCTGGTTCGCTAAATCTACGGCTAAGAGAGTTCATTTTGCAAACATGAATTCTGGAGCCAAAGAGATGTTAGCTGAACGAGTTCGAAAGTCTAAACCATTCAGGGGATTCTGTGACAGTGGGAGCACGTGACGTGTTTCGGGTACAGTTACAAAGAGCCGTTGGGTTTTGAAGACTAAGACTGAAAAATTCTCTCCTGTTGAATGTTTGCAAAGTTGGGAGAGTGTTAGTGGTCCTCGGTGTATCTCTGGATCCGGTGGAGTGTCCAAACCAGTTGAGACAGAGGATGAGTCGGTGGTGGGATTAGCCACGGCTGAGTTGGAGCTAGTGGGAGCTTCAACTGGCCCTTCTAGTAAATTGATGATGAGGGGCGGCTGCAACTAGAGAAATCAGACTAAGTTTTAGCTTGTTCATTGGAACTGGAAGCCTAAAAGGACTTGGTTGTTTTTTAAGATTACTGGAATAATTGAGAGTTGAATGGCGGAGAAAAGCTAAAGTTGTTCAAGCCTCCAAGGGGAGAATTGTTAAGAATTATGGAGTCTTGAACAATTGACAGGTTCCTAAGAGTTCAAGGGCCATAAATGTAACTTGACAAATAAACAATTGAATTGTTTAATATTTGTTTATTGGACGGGAGTGGACGGGCAAAAGTATTAATTGTTTAATGGAATCCATGTGCAATTTTGTTTCGGCCGTAACATGTGAATGGAAGAAAATTCAAATGGTGGCTGGTCAAACAAAACGACTCCTCTCTCAGTATATATATGTGCGATGTAACTCTTGTATGTGTGCCGAGTGATATTACCATTTGTAATCTTATAATGATTAAATATAAAATCTAGTTGCGCCCGTGGACGTAGGATTTACACCGAATCCGAACCACGTAAATCCTTGTGTTCCTTCTTGCTTTATTTCCTTCGTGTGTTTGTGTGTGTGATAGTGTTTCCGCTGCGTGTACCCGGTCCGGTTCCTAACAAAAGATTGTTTCAATTTCATTATGATAGAGCCTTGAATCATGCTGGAATGAAGATGGCACGAATCTGAATTAAGTTTTGATGTTTCATAAGATGTGCTAAAAAGATGAATCGAAATGATGTTTTCGTTCGTACTTGTTACTGAACGAAGATGATGGTTTCATTCGTATTTTGATGCGGCGGCGACGACGATTGCGTCTCTCCTTCTCCGACGACAGCGTCAAGCTACAAACGTCGGAGTTCAGTAACATTGTCGTCTTCGTTCATTAGTCTGATCTGAACTCTGATGGTGTTGGAAACTTGAGAAGACGATTGAGGAAGCCCACAACCAGCGATGAAAACAATCTCGCCGATGAGGTAACATATTTAGGGTTTTGTATGTTAAAAAGTTGTTGTGGAACTTGTGGTGTTGATCGGTGATGAAGAGAGAATGGTGGCAAAAATGACATGGAGGTCGGCTGTCACACCCCCGAACCGGAACGACGGAAACGTCCGGGGTTCGGTGACTTAATCTTGTAATATCATAACAGTGTAAATAATTGAATCAAGACAACATCATCATCACACATACAATAATACACCGTCATTGTTTACATCAGTGTGTTGGTTTACAAATTACATTCCAAAATATAAGTGTATGATGATAACAAAAATACAACAAAAATCCATGAGTTCTTGAAGACCAACCTGCTTAACGATTCCCTGAGAATACAAGTTATTTTGAAAACGGTCAACATATATAATGTTTGTGAGTTTCATAAGCAATATTTGTAGGAAAAGTTTGTATCACTTTGTAAACCCAGAAAATCCGATATTTTTTGTAAAAATGGTTGAACATTTTGTATCAAATCTTGTATTAAAGCATGTGTGTTTTCTGTTTGAAAATGTGAAAGAAAGTATTATGTGAACATCCAATATTTTATGTTGTAAGTAGAAGGTAATGCGTAATGTAAGTTTCCCAGAAAATCCGATATTCTCTGCGTGTAAAAGTGTTGTAGTCTTAAAACCCTAAGACCGGAAAATAGTGTTTGTATAAGATGATAACTGCAGATAGAAGATATAGATTATATATAGATATATATATATATAGAATATATATATATATATATATATATATATATATGTATTCCGTAAATTTTAAACCGCGAGTTAATTTCTATGTGAGTCGTTTACCCTGTTTGATCTGATGAGCCTGCTTGTCATGACATTTTTCAGGCGTCGCTTGTTTAAGGTAAGACATTTGTCACCCTAG